TTGTTTGTTTGTCACTTTTTTTTTTGTTTACTCCCAAGAATGTATACGACGATAGAGGAGCGAAATTCCTCCAGTTATATTCATTTTTGAATGATGTGATGTGAAATTCGAAAGAGGAATCTCGTATTTATTGTATATGTATATAGAGGAAAAGGAATGCACGTCGTAATGCATCTGTGAAACAGCTTATTCCACAGTGGATTGCATTCGGATTTCCGGTGACAATAGAAACTGTTTTACTTACATTGTGTGACAAAAGCAAAGTGGAAGAGCAGATAGAACAAAATAACCCAACCACCTTACATCGCACTGGACAATGCTATTTTCGCCCCCTCTTTGCCCTCCAATAGTTGAAACCATCGAGATATGCAAATCAGAGTGAGAGAGAGAGAGAGTTAGCACGACGTTTGAACTTTCACAAACGTATTCATAGAATTGTTCGAACGACGAGTTTGCGAACGACATAAAATAACGGTGGAAAACCCCCCAACGGAATTCCTGGGAGTTTCCAATGTGTAGTTGCGCTTGTTTCTATCTTGTTTTCCCTTCCCTAAAATGACGGCCAACCTCCAGTGTTTCTCTCCCTCTCTCTCTCTCGGCTCACTCGAGTCAATGTATTCCACATTTGTCAGAGTCACGTTTCGGATAATTTGAATTTCACTTGTGTGGCATTTATTTTTCTAGTATTTCCTTAACTGCTGTTCTTACTTGTTGTGTATTGACTGGTTTATTAAGTGTTAAACAGAAAATTTCTTTTTTTAATAAAAAAAATTCATTTAAAAACAAACTTTCTAATCCCTCTTTCTAATAATTAGCATGGTTGCCACAGGTCAGGGATTTTTATGAAAATTACAGGAAAAAATTTAATTCTTAGAATTCATAAAAGAAAATTCTGAATTTTTGTGTCTTTTTCATTTGCCTCATAAACTATAAAATTATCACGAATTCTAATACAAAATCTTTAAAAATTTTCTCCATTTCTGGCCAGAATGAATTTTTTAATATTATTTAATTATTTCAAAAATTTCATCTTGATAAATAAAATTTTTCCCAAAAATCCAATTATTTTTAGGAATTTAAAAAAAATTCTTTTCAAAATTCAATTATTTTCATAAATAACAATATTCATCACAAGAATTCAATTTATGTTTAAAACTTTAAAAGGAATAAAATTCTTCGAAGAAATTCAATTATTTTTAAAAATTTCACTAAATGTATCTCATCAAGAATTCAATTATCTTCATAAATAGCAAAATTGTTCACCAAAAATTCAATTACTTTCAAAAAATGAAATAAAATTTTTTGCAAAATTTTAATTATTTTAAAAAGTTTAACGCAATTCAATGATTTTTAATATTTACTATTTTCATAAAATTTATCAAAAATTTTAATCATTGAAAAAATTTTTTGATACAATTCTATGAAAACATTAATTTATTTTCATAAATAATAGAATTTTGTTTAGGAATTCAATTATTATTTTCATCACAAAATTTCAAATATTTTTAATACAATTTTAAATAAATTCCTCGAAAAAAGCAACTTATTCTTAAAAATTGTAAATTGTCCCAGGAAAGCACTTATTTTCAAAAATTTTTAAGTAATTCTGCAAACAAATTCAATTATTTATTTATTTTGATAAACCACAAAATTCTCCCCATAAAATTAATTATTTTAAGGAATTTTATTTGTATTCTTTTCCAAAATTCGATTATTTTGATAAATATCAAAATTCATCTCAAGAATTCAATTAATTCGCAAAAGTTCTATTATTTTTATAAATTACTATTTAAATTCTTCTCAGGAATTCATTTATTTTTCAAAATCTTAATAAAATTCTTCAAAAAGTTTTAAATTATGATAAAAAAATTGTTATAAAATTCTTAAATATAATAAATTTCGGTAAAATTTTAATTAAATTCCTTAAAAGAAATTAATTATTTTCAAAAGTTGTAACTAAAATTCTTCATTAAAATTAAATTTTAAGAAACAGTCGATTATTGAACAAATTATTTATTTTTTTATTTAAATAATTGAATTATAGTAGAATTTTATAATAAAAATAGATTTAAAAATGAATTTCGATTAAAATTTTAGATAATAATTAAATATTAAAATCATTATAGCATGGATTTTTGGAAATAATAATTAAATTTTGAAACGGTTTCAAATTCAAATCTTTGGAAATCTACATTTTCGGTACTTTTAGTTAATAATTGATAATAGAAGAATTTTAGTTAAAATTTCTAGAAAATAATAAATTAATAATTGAATTTAAATTATAGAAATAATTTCGAAAAAGTTAGAGTAACAATATTCTTATATAAAATAATAATTTTATCCCTGGGTTATTTTTAATTATTATAAAAACATGAAGATCACTCGAGTCGATCACTCCGAGTCGAAGACTGGGAGTGATTGACTTATTCATGTTTGTAATAATATTCTTATAAGTTATTAAATTTCAAAAAATTTGAATTTATATTTTTTAATTAAAAAAAAAAATTTTTAATTTTAATTCCTCTGGAAAAATAATAATGATTAAATATCAGAATATTCTTTAGGGTCAGGGAAAAAGTCAAAATTCTGTCTGGAAATCAGGGAAAAGTCAGGAAAAACAAAGTTTAATTTTTGTGGCAAATTTTTATGACTTAACTTTGAATTTGAAAATTTGAATTTTTTTTGGGAAATTTTTTTGAAATAGTATAAGATAACTAAACATTTTGATAATATAGTAAAAATTTGTAGCTGTTTTAGATAAATTTTCTATAACCTGTATAGTGATATAAATAATAATAATAGTAATAACATAAAATAGAAAAGAAAAGAAACCAGAATGTTTAAAAATTCAGACAGCCGCAAATAACAATTTTCAAGCAAATTCAAAGCGTACTTTAAAAAATTCGTCTACGATATTGCGAACGGTATTTTAAATTTAAAAAAAAAATAATATCCGATTCGTATTCAGAGAACCTCAAAATCCCCGTGAATATAATATAATACTGTGTGTCGTGAAATTTTTATCCATTTTTTAGCTTGTACTACTTTTTAGCACTTTTCGTCATAAAAACTTTCCGGTTCAAGTGTTTAATACTTTTATAACATATGTCCTTACGCAACAGACATAAATAAATCCACCATATCTATATACAATTAAATAAAATGAAAAAAAAAAGAATTTCTAAATCGAAAGCAAAATATATGTTTTTGTTGAAAATGGGGATTTTTTTCAATATTCAAAATTTATGTAAAGAAATGATAAAATTTTTAAAATTTATCACTCCGTGTTTTATTATTTCTATTCTTTTTATTGATATTTATTTTTTATATTTTTTATATTATATTCTTTACATTATTTTCGATTTTATATAATATTTTATATATTCTTTACGTTATTTTCGATTTTTTATATTATATTATTTATGTACTATCATAATTTTCATTATAAGTCACATCTGGTGCAAAAGAAAAAAAAATCTTATAATATAAGTGTCACTATTATTTATCGCATTATATATTTTTTTTCCTGCATCACAAAGATGCAACTCGCAAGAAATATATATATATTATTTTTTTCCTTTTTAATGTGACTTTAAAATTTATGAGTATTATTACACTCTAAACATTAAAAAATACGATATCGTAAAACATATTTCAGTTTTTGGTTTCATAAAATTTCGTTATAATTTGTTTTTAAGAACAGTGTAATTAAAAAAGGATTCTATTTTACAGTCTAGCAATATTTCAAACTAATTAATTTATCATTTTTTTAAAAAGAGAGAGAGAGAGAGAGGGAGGGAGAGAAAGACATGAAATACCCATTTCTCTACTCTTTATACAAGGGAAACCTTGCAATCTGTGCAGATGTTGACAAAAGACGAAGGGAAAATTATATGTATATTGATGATTTTAATTAAATTTTTTACTCATTTCATAAAATCAAATGTGAATACAAATTCTTAGAGTTGGATTTCCGATATTGAAAAATAAAAACTATATATAATTTCTACTGATAGCGTTCTTTTGAAAATAATTTGATAAAATATTAGAAATTTTTAAATATTGAAGCATTCATTTTGGTAAATCAAAGTAAAAAATAAAAATATTTTTTTATTTTTTGCGAATGAATTTTTGAATTGACTTTATTAGCCAAAAATTTGCTAAACAATGGGTACAAAATTGTGCATTTGGTTTGTAATGTTAATTAGTTAATAATTTTATTTTGTCATAGTTAGTTTTTTGTAAGTTAAATTTTTTAGTTTTGTTGAAGAAACAAATTTCTGTTTTTTTTGCATAAATTGAAGAATTTTTAGTTTTTTAAAACTAAAAAAATATGTATTCTTATTAAATGTTATTATTTTTAGAGTAAACTTTACTACTTCTAAAGGAAATTCTTCTAATTTTTATAGAAAAAAAATTTCTTTGGAAATAGTAAAAGTTATTCAGGAAATAAAAATTTTCAATATTTTAAAATTTAAATTAAATAGTATTTTCAGAAAAAATGTTACTAAGTCCTTTTTTACTTGAACCCCTTTTTTGAAAATTATATTCCCCCATTATTAATATTACATGAAATGAAATTACTGTGATCCCTGAAATTATAATTCATAAATTTATGAATAGTTTTATAAATTATTATTTAATAATGATCAATCTCCCTAAATTTGAATTAGTAATTGTTAATTATTCTATATAATTTATAATATAATATAAATGTTATAAAATAATAAATGAATAAATAAATAAATAATAATAAATAAATAAAATATATAAAATATAATGTAAGTTATTTAATGATAATTACTAATTTATTAGTAAAATTGACTAATTCCAAAGAAAAAAGATTAATTAAAATCAGTAACCATTTTGAGTGTAATTCAAATTTAGGGGAATAGAAGTAATTTAATAGAATTATTTAATTGAAAATTATTATTTGTTTCCTTATTTTCTTTTTTGATAATAATTCAAATTTAAAGTGTTTTCTTTTCTTTTTGTTTCAGATGAGTTAAACAACATATGATTGCTGTCGAGTTTATTACGTGAGTAAATATATATTAAAAAATATAAAATGATATAAGTGACATATAATTATCAAAGGAATAATTTAAAAATTCTGATTCGTTTATTTAACGAAAATAATTATTAGCTCTGTGATATTTATATGAAATTGATAATCAATTAAATTGAATGGAAATTTCGGAAAATATTTATTCGTTTTGCAAAATTTCTTTTTCATATATATTTATTTACGACTGTGTACGCTATAGTACAATTAATTTTTAATTAATTTGAAAAATCCCTCTTTTTATACTACATTCCCTTTTTAAAAATTAAAATTCCCTTTGTTAGCTAATATTACACGGAAAAATCATTGTAATGCCTGTTATTATTTAATTCGATAATAATTATTTATTGTAATAATAATGATTTATTGAAATAATAATTATTTACTATACAATAATAATTATTACAATATAATATAATTATAACAATAATAATTATTACAATAATAATTATTTATTTGAAATAATATTAATTAGTGAAAATACGTTTCAATCAGAAAAATAAGTAGTGCAAATTAATTACAAACAAGCGGACGTTTAAAGATTGGATTCAGTTCATAATCATACGTAGTAGGATTGATTGATCTACTACTTAGTAGTAGAAAGTAATTTAAGTCAGACAGAGATATTTAAATTTGTCTTTTTGATATTTAAGTAATAAAAATTCGGTTTATCTGAATGATTAAGTAGTAAGAATCAATTATAGTCAGCCGGGGATTTACATAACAGTACATTAAGAAAACCAAAAAAGAAAAAATGTAATTGAAAGCAGCAGAATGTTTGGTTTACTATAGTAAAAATATTCAATTTTGTTGAATTAAACAAACGTTAAGTTATTGTATTTCATTCAGCAATGCAGTAAATTTGTTTGTTTAAAACTTTATATTTGGTTTTTTTTATTTTAATTTTTTTTTATTTGCATTTATTTGCTTGATATGAAAGAAAAATATTTCATTGTTTGAAATAAATTTTTTCGCACTGCGTGTATATAGAGGAATATTCAACCTTCGTCTAGAATTGATTTTCCACTGATAAAGGGCAACTTTGGGGAATTATCTTAAGTAGAAATGTTGTATCTATTTTGCCGATGAAATAGTTTGAAATTTTCGTGGTATATATCGAGGTATAGAATTAAAGCAGAACTTGCACATGTATAGGAGAGCTTGGTTAGAAATTTCGCTTGGAGCATGTCGAGTCACTCGTCTTAATTCAGTGGCAGACACTCATAGCAGTTTGGCTTCACTAAGTCACGCAACTAAGGAGAGAGATGGATGGATAGAGGCAGAGTGAGAGAGACAGAGACAGAGAGAGAGAGAGTGAGATTTAAACGCATAGGTGGGTATTGCATAGCGGGAGGAAATCCAAAGCCTTGCGCGAACAATGGGACACCTGCCTGCCAGCCAGCTAATAGGCACATTGGCGAAGGGGTTGGAGAAGAGATTATACGCGCTTCACTGAAATCCGTCTAGCAATACGAAGGGGTAAGCGCGCCTCAAGATGAGTTGATATTGTTCAAGGATGAGAAACGAGGTGTAGTAGAGAGAGAGAGAGAGAGAAAGAGAGGTTTGTGTGAGGAGAAGTTACGTGCAAGAAGCTTTGCCAGGATTGACGTGCTCCTTAAATGCAGAGAGGTGGAACGAAGGTGATTCGAGAACGGAAGGCTGGAACCTTCTTAGTACAATAAGAGGGAGAGAGTGAGTGAGTGAGTGAGTAAGACGCGATGAGTTTCCCCGTCACGGAGGTCAATTGTTCTAACTGTGTGCCATTACTTCGAATTGGCTGGTCGAAGACAATGCTTTGATAATACGGTTATCCGTAAGTCTCTGCCGCTACTTTACTTGACCTGTTTTCCTTTTCTTTTTCTCCTTTTCTTTCTTCTCCCTTTCCTTCTTCTTCTTTTTCTTTCTCTTCGTCTTCTTCTCCTTCTTTTTCCTATTTCTCTTCGTCTATTTCTTCGTCTTCACCTTCTTCATTTTATTTTTCTTCTTTTACTTTTTTCTCCTTTTTTTCCTTCTTATTTGACTTTCGGACAAATGAGTAGACAATTGAGGCTCCGAATCTTAAAAGGGCATTTTTCACATAGACTTTACATGGTGAAAGTGCCCTTTTAAGATCCGGAGCCTCAATTGGAGAAAGAGGATAAATTTTCAATTCATGTCAACAAAATTGCAAAAATGTTTGTTTGTAGTAGTAAACGTTAGGTTTAGTCAGACATCGATATTTGACTTTGTTTTTCACTCTTAATTAAGTAGTAAAAGTCAATTATAGCCAGATAGAGACTGTGGTAAAAGAATAAAATAAAAATCAGTAGTAAACGTTAGGTTTAGTCAGACATCGATATTTGACTTTGTTTTTCACTCTTAATTAAGTAGTAAAAGTCAATTATAGCCAGATAGAGACTGTAGTAAAAGAATAAAATAAAAATCAGTAGTAAAAGGGACTTTACGTTCGTCAGAAGTTTAAAATTTTGACTTTTAGCCATTTTTAGTTAATTTAGTAGTAAAAATTCAGTAGTTTAAGTAGTCAAAACCAGTTACAGTCAGACGACGACCTCAAATTTTGTAGTACGTTAAAAAACAAGTAGTAAAAGAAAGTAATAGTCAGACATATTATGAATATAAACTTCTCTATTAGTCATTTAAGTAATAGAAATACAGTTTAGCTGGGTATTTAAGTAGTAAACGCAAGTTATGGTCAGACGAAAGTCTTAAAAATTTTTGTAAATTAGAAATTAAGTAAAATAAAGTAAATTTAGTAATACATAAAAATACAAACTTCTCTATTAGTCATTTAAGTAATAGAAATACAGTTTAGCCGGGTATTTAAGTAGTAAAAATCAATTATAGTCAGACGAAAGATTTAGCATTTTTTTTGTAAGTTAAATAATAAATAGTAAAAAGTAATTTTAGTCAGACGCAAATGTTCACAATTGATCGTATGGAATTTAAACAGGAAAATTAGTATTTAGCCAGACTTTTAAGTAGTAAAAATCAATTACAGTCAGCCGTGTACTAAAATAAGAGTAGAATTAAAAAATCAGTGGTAAAAGATAATCAGACAAAAATTTTTAATTTATTTTTTAGTTAGTGAAAGGGAAAAAATAAAAGTAAAACTACTTCTAAGTAGTAAAAATAAAGTTTACTCTGGTATTTCAGTAGTATAAATCAAATATAATCAGACGAAAACCTTAATATTTGTGTAAGTTAAAAATAAGTTATGAAATTTGATTTTAGTCGCAGGCAGAAATTTACAAAGTCCTTTAGACATTTTGGTAGAAAAAAAACAACATTTTGAGAAATTTAAGAATAGAATAGAATTTTAAGTAGTAACAATCATTTAAGTCAGACGGACACTTAAATATTTAAGATACTTAAAAATTAGTAGTAAAAAAAAATTTAGTCTGACAAAATTATGCAAATTTGTCTCTTAAGCATTGCTAGTGGGTAAAAATAGTTTCATCAGATATTTAAGTAGTAAAAATCAATTTTAGTCAGACGAAAAGTTTTAATATTAGTATATTATCAACTATAGTCAGTCGGGGATTTTTGTAACATTACATTATGAAAATTAGTAGTAAATGGTCGTTTTAGTCAGACTAAAATATATAAACTTGTTGTTTAGGCACATTTTAGTAGTAAAAATACGATTTATACTGATATTTGAGTAGTAAAATGCGGTTATAGTCAGACGACAGCCTCGTTATTTGTGTAAGCTAAAAAATAAGTAGAAGACGATAGTTTTAGTCAGACATAAAAGTCTACATTTATTTTAATAGTAAAAGTACGCTATAGCTAGATATTTAAATAGTAAAAATCAATTATTGCCCAAGAGGACTGCAATAATTGAAGTATCTTATGAAAAAAAAGTGGTAAAAAAATTATAAATGAATTATAATTCTAAGTGTAGACAATATTCAGAAAAGAATCGTCTGACTTAAATTGTCTTTAACAAACAGATATTAAATGGAAAATTATTGCTAAAAATGTTTGTCTGCCTGAAATTAAACTTATTTTGTAATGATTTTTGTTTAAAGAAAGGTTTGTTTGTCTAAAATTCAATAACAGAACTAAACTTTCGTATCGAAAAAATGAAATTTCATTAACATAACTGAAATCTAATGTAGAGTTGAATGTTGTTAATTGCTTTAAAATTTTATGGTATTTGGAAAGATTCTTCTTCGTAGAAAGTAGGTAAAAAAAAGAAGTGTTTTTCTCGAATGTAGTGTATTTTTTTCTGGCGAAGAGTATTGGTTAAGTTTCGTGTAATTGTAGGTCAAACTCTTTTCTCTTTCTCTTCCTGCAGTTAATCGTGAACAAAAAAAGATTTCGAAACTTTCTGATAGCAGATTCTTGTAAGTTTTTAATTTATGCACACGGGGCTTATTTTTTACTTTTCCACTACATCTTTCTTTTTCTTCTTCTCTTCTTGTTTGGATCACATAATCGTTTCAATTTTTCTTCTTATTTAATTTGTTTGACAGATATATTATTCGGCAGTAATATTATTATTATTTTTTATTATTACTCTCATTTCAGTATTAATATTTATTATTATTATTATTTAAAATAATTATAATTTTTTATGTAGTAAAATATTTTTTTAATAAAAAAAGAAGTGTAGAAGGAGAATTAAGGTGGGGAGAGAAAGTTCTACAGAAAGAGAGAGAGAGAGAGAGAGAGAGAGAGAGAGAGAGAGAGAGAGAGAGAGAGAGAGAGAGAGAAGGAGAAATGAAGAGAGACAAGAGATGTAAATAGAGAAGTAAAATTCCGACATGAGAGCATGTAAAGGAGAATAGGAGAAACGTATTTAAGACGTCTGAAGAGTAGGGGATTCTAAGAAGTCATTCCTAAACCCTGTTTCATAACATTCCGTCGCACCTGTCTTAAACTACGTTCCATAAGCCTCCGTCTGACTGATATTGACATTTACTACTGCGGTAGTATATATTCTGCAATATTTCGTCTGCTACATCTTTT